TATGTATGTATGTAGGTATGTAAGTAAGTAAGTAAGTCAGTAAGCCGGTAGGTAAGTATGTATGTGTGTCAATGTCAATGTTACATATACATCTATATATATATATATATACACCATAGAACGAAAGTCTTGAAACTTACACTCCCAGTAGTACCAACAGCTCGAGAAGAAGTGCCTCTTTGAGTATCTGCTGCGCCGCTTTAAGATCGCCTGACTCTGCCAATTCGGAGGCCTCACCACGAGCATTGAAATGGCTCTGAGGCTGGCTCTGAGGTGTGATTGAAATGGGTAATATGGGGACCTCAATAATTACACAAAGGTTTGAGTTGAGGGGGGTGGTATGGTAGTCGTTGGACTTGTACAGGCATGGTAACGCATATGATGGCATGTGATGACTAACTATTCAGATAAACGCTTTCTGAGTTCACTCTCGTACAGGGTTTTAGAGCTTTGGGGGGAGGGGCTTAGGGCCCATAAGGTTTAGGAAGATGGTCATGGGTTAGATTTAGGATATAGGATGTATACTGAACAGCTTAGGCTTTAGGATGGCGCCATGACCACTTTTTTTCAGGCGGAATGGTGAAGGCGAAAGAGCAAAAGTGCCTGGTGTTTGGGATGCTTCGCGGTAGGGTTTAGGGTTTCGGATTTAGGATAGAGTTAGGCTGGGCTGCATGCTGTCTGAGCCAACGATTCGTCCGAAAGCTTCCACAGTGAATCACACACCGATAACCCACAACTCAACCTCCTCTGACAGGGCGAACACAGGCCTAAACACTGTCATTATACCTACAAAGTCTAGACTGCCGCGTCGACATCGGCGCATAAGAATGCATTGCGCGAGCACAACACTCCAAAACCTGTACTCTTTGCACATGTCGAAGTCCGGACTGCGGCTGTAGCCTACAGCTCGAGGCGAGCATTTGCAAGTGCCGAAGCTGTCACTCTGAGGCAGCCTTCGGGCTGTCCATGAAACAAAGCCTCTGTTAAAAAGTCTGGAACTGAATGTCCTCTGGCAAAGTCCGCCGCAGTCCATTTGCGACAGTTGCGCAGATCTAGTCGTGCTCCCGCAGCAATAAGGGCGGCAGCACCTTCGAACTGACCTGACATCACAGCTGCCATTAACGGCGTCTGACCTCCATAATGGTATCCCCACCTCGTCATCAACGTTCTCTTGCCAAGCTGATATTGAAGCCCCAAGGTTGCGAAAAAGGCGCGCAAAGGCTTGTTTGGCCGAAGGGTTGCATTGAGATCAGCTCTCAGTTCGATCAAGCGCATAATAACCTTGGGGGTTTCTCGAAACCGGAGGGTTGCCCTACTTTAGGCGCCCTCAGCAAGTAGCCTACTGTTTGGGGAGTCGATGTTCAGGTCTTGTAGTTTCTGAATCTCCAGCCTCTGCACTACCTCCTCGACCTGCTGATGCCACGTACAACGACCTGTTCAAGCTTATTTGGCGTAACTCTATCTTGGTCCCAGCTTGGGTGACAAGTTCTTCCAGTGCTGCCATTGTTCCAAAGGCGGTACTGTAGTCGAACGAGGCGTCTCCTAAGAGACTGACCTTGAAGACTCGGCCACCAGCTGCACACAGAATTCGGATTGCTTCGGGATCGTCTGCGACAGCTGGTCCTGCAAGGACCGGATGAAGACCCGAGTCGACTGGGGCTCTTGCGGTAATCAACAAGCGCATGCAGTCGTGGTGCTTGAAGAAGCTGCAGATACCGAGCGCATTGCATCCAGCTGGTACTCCTGTGATCGGTTGGCTCCGTCGAGTCCAGCGATCTACGTTCGCCCGCAGCTGCAGCAGGCCCTGGATCACGAGCGGATCTCCACGCAGGGCTGCGAAGTGCAGTGCTGACCATCCGCCACTGAACTGGTCAATCGTTGTAAAGCCATTCTGGAAAAGGAACTGTTGTGCGGCACAGGCCGCTGTATCGGTCCCCAAGACGGGGTCTGGTGTAAAGCCGGGCACCAAATCATACACTGCGGATGCATCGAAACCTCTCAAGTAGACATTTTGCTTGTTCAGCAGAAACCGATAGCCGACAACATCCAGGCTCTTGAGAAGGAGCTTCATCTTGCACAGAAGTGCACGCTGAAAAACTGGAGCAAGCTTCATGCGATCTTTGTCGTCCGTGAAATGGCCTTCGCCCGCCGGCTGCACCACGAAAAAAGGGGCAAAGGAGGATGTCAATTCCAACTCCGTGCTGCTCTTGATCATGATAATCCAGGGATCGTTCGGCGTCAGTTCTCTCAGGACTCTTTCCGTGCGGCACCATGCTCGATCGTTCCAAGAAAACGTGGTAAACACTTTACCAAGCGGGCTGGTTTCCACAACAGGGCAAAGAGCGAAGAAGAACTTGCACCTCGCGATGTATGCCGGGATGCTGTCAACGGCTTTGGCAAGATTGGGTCTTGGACTTTCCGGCCCAGTGCCCAGGATTGGGAACTCCAGTTGCGGACAAGAGAAATAGTCGTACCAGATGTAAAGAGGCGCCACACGTAGGTGGGATGCAGGGAGCGGCTGCGCACTCGGAAAGTAAAACTCCGTGAAGGCATCCAAAGGGATTTGCTGCAAATTAGAAAGCATGTGCTTCAGTGCATCCTGTAAAACTCGGAGCTGCTTTCCCTCTGGATCCGGATGATGGTGTCCCACCCACTCGTGCGAAACAAATGCGGCGTTGCCCAAGCTTTCGTCGAATTCGACCAAGAGCTTGGCTGTCTTCAACTGTTCGTGCGGCACGACCTCCGACAGGTGGTCAAATTTGTCAGACCATGTCTACAAAAAATATATATGCTGCTATAAGCGTACACTCGTTCCATTTTCCAAACTATCACTTGAATCTGGGTTCACTCCTGCCGATAGATATCATAGCAAAATGGGTGTGCGCTTGTCTGTAGACGAAAGGAGAAAGAAAGAGAGAGAGAGAGAGAGAGAGAGAGAAAGAGAGAGAGAGAGGGATAGGGGATAAGCCCTAAACCCCAAACCTCTAAACCCTTAAACCCTAAACGCTGAACCCCGAAACAGCTAAATCCCTCAACTCTAAACCCCCAAACCCCTATAAACCCTCAAAGCCCCAAGGGAGAGAGAAGACACGGTTTGGGATATAGGGCTCCAAGAGATCTCTTCAGCATATGACAAGACTAAATAGCCGACACTCCCGAACCGCCGAAGCCAAACACCAGGCTAACACCTGACAACACCCCAAAGCTTAACCCTGAGGGTCCATGTACCCAAATAGTAGGTACTTTGGCCCCAAAGTACCCAAATAGGGACTACTTTAAGGCCAAAATATCTACTATTTGGGTACATGGACCCTTAGGGTAACACCCGAAGCCTCGGCCATCTCCAGCAGAACATTTGCGCGAACTGTGTACATAGGGAAGAAAGCTTCAGTGGCGTTGGACTCTGCAGATCCTCGCGAGACGCGACGATTTTAGGGGGCCTTGAGCGCTCCCCTCGTGTACGGACTGTGGTTTGGGCTCCAGGATTGCGGGCTGATGCTTCTTTGGTTCAGGGTTTAGGGTTTAGGGTTTAGGGGTTTAGGGGTTAGGGTTTAGGGGTTCAGGGTTTAGGGTTTAGGATTTAGGGTTTAGGGTTTAGGGTTTAGGGTCTAGGGTCTGCGGCTTAAGGCATAAGGTGTAGAACTAGGGCCTGTAAAGCAATTATTGCGGGGACGATGAGGGAACCCTATGATTTATATCCGATGCACAGGAGATTGGCCGCAGTTGCACTGCCCCTGTGTCTACAAAATTGCTTGTCTATCGGGTTCTGCTTTCTGGAAACGTTGGCCAGGAAAAAACCATAAACCCAGGTGTCGTGGTTTACTGTTTAGGGGTTTAGGAGTTTAGGGGATCAGTGTTTACGGGCTTTGGGGTCGGGTGTAGGGTCGACAAAAAATTCTTGCACCTTGAAACCTGGAACCATGGTCAGCCCCAAACAGGGCTCCGATTGAAGGTGTTCTAGAGTCCTTGAGTTTAGGATTAGGGCTCGAGGCTTCAATGCGAGCGTGCTCTATGGGTTTAGGGTCTATAGGGTTTAGCCGATGCACCCAATCACCTTGAAACCTCTTTGGTATGCTAAACTCGATACCTGCTGGCAGTTGGTCGCGCAAGAGCTTGGCATACTGCACCAAGGCGGACGTGGTTCCACGGGCTGCACTGCAAGCCATGGCTCTTCAAAACAACATTGACCCTAGACCCAAACCCTACCAAAGCATCCTTGATCGCCTAAACCCTAAACCCTAAACCCCTATAAACCCTTAGGCCTAGGCACACAACCCTAAACTCTAAACCTTCTCGGTTCGGAAAGGCTGTTAGAGAAATAGAATAGGGTTTTGTAGGTAGTGTTTAGGACGTTTATGGCTAAGGGTTTAGGAACCCCGTAAAAGCTTGAAAGTCTGGTCTGAAAGCTCTTGGTGTTTCAGGCCCCAGCCTTTAGATGTTCCAGGCTGGGGGAGGGGGATTGGGTTGAGGGCTGTCGGTTCTTTAATTGAGGCTTCAGGGTTTGAGCTTAGCTAGCGTTTTAGGTGTTCATCTATTCAGAACTCTAACCCTAAACCCTAAACCCTAAACCCTTCAGGTGGTGCTGACCTCGAGGTCCCACGAAGTTGCGAGCGGCAGCACTGCACCGAAGAGCGAGATCAAGGCGAACGTAAGGATCTATGGGGCGCCAGGGACATAGGACCGATCGAACCCTCAAAACCCTACTAAACCCCCCCGAGATATCAATTTAGGATTTGGGGTTTCGGGTTGAGGCCCAAAAACGAAAAAGAACAAGTTTTGGGCCCCTTCTAACTGTTCCGGCCCCTACATGCAACCATGCCCGGGCTTGCATGTGCTGAAACTCCCTGCCCCAGATTTCGGGACTTGGGTTGGGGGGTTCCCAGGAACTTCAGGCTTCGTAGGTGCGTACCTTAAGAACCCAAAACCAACTTTTTTGTAGGGTCCCTGTAAATCCCATATTAGGGTTTATAATAAGAACCTACAAAAAAGTGGGTTTTGGGTTCTTAAGGTAGGCCTAAGGGTGTCAGACTTTGAAGGGCGATAAACCCGAAACCCACAACGCAAAGTTTGCGGCTTTGGGGGGGAGAGGGGGGCGGGTTTGTGGCTTAAGGATGAATGTGTAGCAGGGTGTAGCAGACCGAGGAAGGCTGGCATGGCCTCGGAAGCTTTGACCATGAAGCGGTCAGGGGTTAGGGCTGAGGGCTTCGGAAAACCCCAAACCCCAAATTCTAGAGGGTTGAGCACTCGCGGTGCTGCACATAAGCAAGTAGGGCTAGTCCCGTCTTCGGGGGTTGGTAAGATGGTCCGTACATGATGGGAGTTTCAGCAAATAGTCGACCCTACTATAGAACCCTGGCCCTAAATAATCGTATCATAATTATTATAACGGCTTCCAATAAAGCACCCGAGTCTGTGAAACCCCAGAATGAAGACGGCCTTGGAGTACGAGAGTCTGTGTTTAAGGATACTCCAGCCTGCTCCACTCACATGAGGCAACAGGAAAAAGGGCATGTACTTACCGTCCACGCGCTAAACTTCCTGAAGCTCTACACCTCAACAGTAAACCGCCTGTTTACGTCCAAGTATAGGTCCCAGGTCTTTAGCAACCCCCAGACTCTAGACAATCTGCAAAAGCACGCCCACCTCGACAAGTCGCGCCCTTGCAGCATCGTCCTTTGGAAGAAGGATGAGCTTGTCCCTAGACCCTTAACGGTTGCAGGTAAGCATGTATGCTTTTCTAAAACATAGGTGTGTATGTATGTATGTATGTATGTATGTATGTATGTATGTATGTATGTATGTATGTATGTATGTATATATGCATGCATGCATGCATGTATGTATAAGTGCATGCAATTTATATACCTATTTCTGTACACAAATGTATAGTTAAGTTACAATTATATATACATATACACACATACGTACATATATGTGTATATATGTGCGAGTGCGTGTATGTATCGCTGCCTTCGGCAGCTGTAGTTTCGGCAGCTTGGCCACGGAGCCCGTCATTGCTTCGTGCACGAAGTGCTAGTGACGGTATGGATTCGGATTCAGGGCTTCTAGGGTTCAGGGCTTAGGTAAACCTTAAAGCACAACTTGACTGTCCGCGGGCCGACACAAAGTTCTCATAAAACAAAGTCTATGAGCTTTGCGACAACCAGCCCGCTCTCAAGAGTCCGGTCTGCGGATCCTGGATCGCAAATCATCTAAACCCACAAACTCGAAGGATCGATACACTGGGCCGGACATGAATCGCTGAAGCTTGCAGCATGTCGAGCCAAAAGCTGGCACTGGACTGAAGTTAACATCCAAGCTCAAGCATGCAGCGACAGATAATCATAGCTTCGTGTTAAAAAAAGCTAAACCGCTAGATCAAAGAACGGTAGGTCGGCTTTTGAAAATGGGGCTTCGGGTGAATTCCTAAACCCTACCTACCAAGCCACCTCGAGGTTTATGGAGAGCTCGTTCTGCCTAAGACATGACGAGAGTAGAGTCCATGACTGCGGTGACCCCAACTCATCGCAGGCTGTTTAGCATTTAGGGTTTGTGCTTTAGGGACCTGCTCTAAACCCTATACCAGGCTTGTACAGTGCCTACTGGATTGGGCTGCTGCCCTAAACCCTAAACCCTAAACCCTAAACCCTAGCCTTAAACCGTCCTAAAGAAGCAGGCGGCAGAAAGCACGTCCCTGCCTGCGTTTTGGGGCCCGGGTGGGAGAATCCTCCCAGGTCTTGCAGCGGAACCCCTAACCCGAAAGTTAAACCCGAAACCCGGTTATAAATCCTAAACCCTATAAACCCTAGAAGCCCCAATTCCGAAACCCTGAAGCCTAAAATCCTAAACACCCTAAATCCTAAACCCTATAGACCCTAAACCCTCAGAAGCCTATAAACCCCACATTCCGAAATCCTGAAGTTGCATTGCGGCAACTGTCTGAAGAGCAGGAGTTGTTTCACAGCAAATGATCGGGCTCATAATAACCCTAAAGGGTCCATGTACCCAAATAGTAGATACTTTGGCCTTACAGTAGTCCCCATTTGGGTACTTTGGGGCCAAGGTACCTACTATTTGGGTACATGGACCCTTGAGTTAGGAAATTGCCGGGCTCATAATGAGGAAATTATCGGGCTCGTAATAAGGAAGTTACCGGGGTTCAGAATGAGGAAATTATCGGGTTCCTCTTGAGGAACCCCAGCAGGATATGCAATTGGCAATTCCTGCGAGCTGTATAGTGCCCTTTAAGAAGTAATTATGTTGGTCTTATCAGAGCCTCAATTGCATGGTGCCACAACACAAAAAGTTTTCCGAAGCTTTTGTCCACCACTGAGTCCTTCTTCAACCGGCCTCGTAACCCTTGAGTTGTTTCCGCTCAGTACTGCCGCAGTCTGAGACCGAAATTAGAGCTTCCAGTCGAGAGTTCCAGCGATTCGCACAGGCTCGCCTGTCATTCTCACGAAAGACCTGCAAAGTCCGAGATGCTAGGTACGGACGAGCCCGACGAGGAAGGTGTGAGGGGCCGAGCTGATATTACTAGGGCTCGAGGACACACACACAGCACTCGTAATGTGGAATACTGATGCATGAGGTTCCGGTCAGAACAACTTTGGTTTGCAAGCTGTACGGCGCAAACCTTGCACTGTGTCTCTCTGTTTCTGCTGATCCTGCGCGTCGCTCGCACCTGCAAGTCCTAGAACCTACCTCAGAGCTGGCACGAGATCGCACAAGCTCCTTGACATCATTCAACGCGAGGAGTGGTAAGCCTTTGCGCCATATATGCTGTTAACAGAACCTGTTCAAGGCAACAGCTTGACTTTTCTTCTTTTAATCAGGCTTTTACACGGCTTAGGGTTAGGGTCTAGGGTTCAAAAGGTTTAGGGTTGCCTTGGAGAGCCATGCAGCCGACGGGAGGCATTGGAGCTAAGCTCACTCAGAAAGCTCGCCACACTCCTGCGCTTTGCGATTAAGGCTTAAGGCTAGAGGGACAGCTGGAGCAGCTACTGCTCAACTCAACCTGCGCATCTTTGCAACCATGACCGCTGGCATGCAAGAAACCATAAGGACCTGAAACACGCTGAACAAGCCCGCTGCGATGCCAAGTCCAGTGGAATTGCTGGTGTGATGGCTTGCCCGAGACGCTAAAAACGAGACCGTAGAGGCGAATTCAGTGGCCGGAAGACCTGACGAAAACTCACACTGATCCCTGGTGGCGGTTCCCACTGACTTTACGACCTCCAAAACCCCAAACCCTACATCGCACTATTGACTATCGGATGTGAGGCTATAACTTTGTTCGTATATTCTAATAGTGCTCTTACAGGGACCATAAGAGGATGTGATCTCGCTGGCAATATCGCAAGTGGGCACCGTACCAAGCACGTTTGAAGGAAGACAAACACGATCTACAGAAAGTTATCTGATGTCTTCGCAACGCAGGTCCTCGATGACACAGGCCTTCCTTGGCGGCGTGCCGTTCTGCGATTCGATCTTCTTGACAACGTCCATGCCTGGTATGGAGTCATGGACTTTGCGAGGGCCCTAACAATTAAACTAGGGGTGCAGTTTAGGGTCCACGATTACAACTATATTCAGGGTTAAGGAACCCTGAAGATAAAACTAGTAACTCTCTGGCTTTTTTTCGCTTCCGTACTGGGGGTTGGGTCGAAGGCTCCGGGTGGACCCCCTAAACCCTAAATCATAAACCCTAAACCCTGAACCCTATAAACCCTAAACCCTAAACGGACAGTTGTGGAGATCAGGTCACAACTCCATCGAAACATGCAAGGGATCTCGAGGTGACCGGACTTTAGGTTTCCTTTTCCGGTGGGGCAAGGGTTTAGGGTTTCTTTAAAGTGCAACGGCCTTTCACACTGTTAGCGCGTCGAGTTTAGGGTTTAGGGTTTAGGGTTTAGGGGTTAGGGTTTCTGGGCCCCAATGTGGGCCGTAAAAATTTGAATAGGGTTTTGGGGGCTCCATATTATAATGACAGAAAGCCCCTTTATGTCTAAATCAGATGCTTGAGAGGCATAACTTCTATAATTCAAGGACTATAGAGTCGGAGTCGGACCAAATGCCGCAACTACATGTACTTGTATGTGTATCACAACTAATAAAATTCCAAGTTCTTCAGTCGCCTATAGACTATAGACTCGAGTGGCCCTCACTACAAGTCAACTGTTTCGCTGCTTCCGGAAATTCTTCACGAGGGTCCCCATGGAAGCAGAAACGGAAGCAGCGACACTTACTCTTAGAAACTTAAAATCAATGCTGCGGGTTTGAGGCTTTAGGGTTTTACGAGCTCAGAAGTTCAAAGACTTGCAGCCAACAGCCCAAGAGCTGCAGCCCTGCACCCTCGAACCCGTTAATCAAAAACCTGAGACCCCAAGACAAGTCCTAATCAACAAGAAGACATAATGAGACAAAATCGCGATGGCCAGCATGAACATCATCTTAAATGCGTCACAAGCATGCTAGAGCTTCCACGATCGACGGTTGGGGCATCAGGGCTCTACTGGCCGAAGCTTCTCAAGATTTAGGGTTTATGTCCAGGTTTCAGCATTGACAATGGAGTCGCTTCAATTTTCTGAGTTCCTACATAATTCCCGTGTAGTTTTCTTGCAGAGCGCCTTCATTGTCCTGACCTGTTCAATGTTCAATGTGCTGCAGCTGCTGCTACTCCTGCCGCTGCCGCTGTGGTCGGAGAGGCGGTTGTTCACGATGCTGCTGCTGCTGCTGCTGCTGATGATGATGATGATGATGACAGTATGATCGTGACAATGGTGATGTTGATGATGATGATGATGATAATGATTGTGATGGCAGTGGTGATGATGGTGATGCCGATCATGCTTATTTTGGTCCATGATAACTGCCACTCCTCTAACCCTAGAACGAATGCAAACAGCACGGCCCAAAACCAAATGCCTTCCACAACACTTCCAAAGACGACGTGCTTGCCGTCCAGGTGGGGCGTGGGCACCGTGCAGATGAAGAACTGGCTTCCGTTCCTGATTCGTTCATGATTCTGCTTTCACGTGTGTGTGCTCGGGTGATACAGGGGCCTTAGTTACTGTTGTAGGGTTATGGGGGGGGGGGGGGGGGGGGNNTAAACCCTAAACCAGTCCTAAACCCAAACCCTACAAGTCTACAGTACTTGCACAATATGCTTATTGGGGAGGAAAGCGTACGCAGGGTCATCGGTTGCTCGACTATGGCTTGATGGGACAAAACTCTGAGGTCGTATATGGCAACATCAAGCTTGAGACGCTTTGCTTTGTGCTCTGGTTGCCGTTTAGTTCTGTTTTTTGGCGGGGTGCCTGCACTTTGAGGTATTTGGGGATGCCAGGTTTTGACGCGACAGGTTGTATACTATACCATACCTATAAAACGGAACCCTAGTGAACACTGTTGAGCTCCGATGTCTCTAATATAAACTGCCCCAAGGGTCTAAACAATCCTTAGTTTGGAAACTCGCGTTTGCGGTAAGCGCTAAACCCTAAACCCTTAACCCTAAATGTATGTGCAACAATGAACCTCTGTCTGCTGTGTTGCTATGCTATGTGAGTAGTTGTCTAAATTAGGGTCCTATCTAGGGTCCTTTTTATATGGGTGCCGTACTATATTGGGGACCTAAAAAGGGACCCTAATTTGGAGAACTACACATGTGCGGTTTGTGTCTTATCATCTCGCAGCCAGTGCGTGTATCCACATCCATGCACACAGAGCAGAAGCTTGACGTCCGTAGGCAAACAAACCGGAGACGCTCCAAGACTATGGGGAGCATTAGCATTCGGAAGCACCCGACTCGTTCGCATGCATTCTTCCCGGTGGTAAACTTATACGAAAACTCGGTCAATGAGTGAACTTACAAAGCCAGAAACCCTCCTAAGCCTGAACTGAAGCCTAAGCTCCATGTACCCGGAGGCCCTTCACCCAGAAACTGGAAAACCTCAAGCCCGAAGACCCAGTGTCAAACATGACAAGCAGAGGTTCGTGTTGGGGCCGGCATTGGCCATCGACAGCACACCGGGTCCCGTGTGCTTCAAGCTGAAGTTCTCGTCGGGAAACTTGTTACCGTAGATTGACTTTCCGCCTGCATGCCGCGACTCTCTGAAGAAGCACTGCGATTCGATGCTGCTTCTTCCGTGTCTGTGGTTGGGACCCTGGAAATTGGAGCTTAAAACGGGCTTCCAGGGGCTCTTGAAGCTATTCGGACTCTGGGCCTAGCAATGAACAAATTTACGGCAACCATGCTGACACACGAGGATAATTGTGACTTAGGGTCTACGAGTTTAGGGTCCATGGGCTCAGTGTGTAGGTTACTACAAAGAAATACAAGGGCCGGCGGGGTCTTCGTCTGGTTCGGGTCGGCAAGCTGTGACGGTTTGGGGTTTAACTAGGGTAACTAGGGTTTAGCAACCGAACCTCTAAAACGTCAACGTTGTGTCTTGGGTTTTCATCACCAACCACTGCCACCAAGCAAGCCAGTGGGCACAATAACAACAACCTCCAGTGAACGCAAGGCCGACATCAGAGGAACTGGCAGAATTTGAGGTGACGTGTTTAGTACGGGAGTGCAGCATTACGGGTAGAGAGGCATGTTCAGGGTTCGATATGCGTTCCACCACCTGAATACCAGAAGAACACCACCAGCGTGGTTCAATAATGGCATACTGATAGCACAGTATAGACCACTAGTACCAGAATCAGATTTCGTTGTCAGACTCATGGACATAAGACTAACAAGAGCAACACCGCTAATGACAAGACACAGACAGAAACATCATCGTACGAATAATGGGCATAATCTTAGTCATCGTCGTATTAATGCCCAACACCAAAATCAAAAAGCATAGCTATATAAAACACAACAAAGAATCATTGCGGCACTACGTATCTGCCGTTTCGTGGACGGAGGCCTGTGCCATTGCCCCTGGTGAAGTCGCCGCCTGAGCTCTAAGGCTCCGCTTAGGACTCTGGGGTTTCGGGTTAGGGTTTAGGGTTTAGGGTTTGGGGTTTAGGGTTTAGGGTTTAGGGTTTAGGGTTTAGGGTTTAGGGTTTAGGGTTTAGGGTTCAACGGTTTAGGGTTTAGGGTTGAGGGAACAAGGCATCGAGTCGCGGCGTTGTTTCGTTTCGGCCCCGATTCTGTCTGCTTCCGGAGTTTCGGGTTTGGGTTTCTCTGGCATTCCTGTGGAATGCTAGATGCTCGGTTTGTCTTTGCAGGTTGCATCATACTGTTGTACCTAAACCCTAAACCCTAAACACTAAACCTTAAACCCTAAACCCTTCTAAACCCTAAGGAACAGGATCTAAACCCTAAGCCGCGTAGCTACACCCTGCCCTGAGATCCTACATCACGCCCCAGAACTCCGACCCAGGCCCCACGGCCCCGAACCAAAAGACTGAGGGTGAAGGCTCCATAATACATGATATATGCAAGCTTGTGTGTCTACCTACACATATTATATGGTTATGTGTATGTATATATGTATCATGTTTATGTATATATATATATACACATATATATACACATGTATACAATTTTCCATCCGAAGTACATGATATGTGTGTGTGTATATATATATATATATTTTCTTAAAATAGAGTATAATGCTATATATTATCGCAACCACGGCATCGCAGGAGCCGAAGTGTAACCTCGTTTCATGCCCAATATGGGCTGCACTGGATTCCACAGAGTCCCGGCGCTAGGGGGTTCTAGCTTTTCCAGCTCATATACGGCAAGTGCCAGCACGCTCACGCCGAGGAAGTACGGCGAAAACCCTGAAGAAGCCGCAACCTAAACCGGCCAATACAGGGGCCCAAATAGTTACCTATACTATTTTGGGGGTTCCTTACTATAATGATACTATCATGGGCCCCAAAACCCAATTCTAAGAATTAAGGCCCCTATATCAATTATCAACGCTGAAACCTTGGCTGGACCTCTCTTTCTCTTGGCACGCAGCCCTGGATCATGAAGTCCTTGATGACCCTGGCAGCGCGAGATCTAGCTAGGAGCCTGAACCTCGAACACACGTAAAATGCACCCGACTTCCCTCAACACCAGTACTGGTGGTGATGGTTTGTTGTTGTTGTTGTTGTTGCTGCTGCTGTTGTGCTGCCGCGTTGCTGCTGCTGCTGCTGCTGCTGCTGCTGCTGCTGCTGCTGCTGCTGCTGCTGCTGCTGCTGCTGCTGAGCTGTGCAGTTGTTGATGGGATGGGAACGATGACACTGATCAGGTCGATGATGTACAACATTACGATTGTGATGTCCATGACGATGATGACGATGATGATGATGATACAGATGATGATGGTGGTGATGGTGCATGATGATGATGATGATGACGATGGTAGGGTTTGTGTTTCGTGATAATGGCAGCAATGAGCAGGCCGCCGACTAAATCACTGAACACGACACCCCAAACCTCATAAACTTAAACCGTAAACCACACCACGAGTCCCAAACCCAGAAGCTCAAACCCTAATCTCAAAGCCTCAAATTCTCGAACAAGACCCTAAACCTCCAAACCCTTAACCCCTCCAAGCGCCCGAACTCCCATCCCTCATCCCGACCCCTAAACCCCAAAACCCTACATGTACTGAAACCCTATGTTTTGGGCTTTGAGGTTGTTTAGGGTTTTGGGCGTTTTGGTGTAGCTTGTAACCCTAAACCGCGAAAATAACACACACTGCACCCGCAACACTTGCCAGACGCAAAACCCCAAACCCTTCAAACATGTTAAGTAAGTTGTTGTTTTCAATTAAAGATTGCGGGTCTGTCAAACTAAGCCATTAAATCATATGATAAACACCGGCTGTAGATCAGAAGATCGATCTCTGTTGGCCTTAACCCTAAATCCCCAAAGACCTAACACCCAAATCCAAACCACCACACTCGACTTCGTCGCAACCCTAACCCCAACCCGTCAAACCCGCACAAATCCAAGAAGCACCTATACCCGAAATCCAATATTCCTAATTAATTCCTAAACCACTCACTTCCCCTAAATCCGGGAGCGCCTGTGGAATGCAGAGCCCTGGAATCCGAATCCCTTCTCTCCAGTGCACAGCCTCATGCAGTGGCTTTGTTTCTGTTGGCATCTTTCAACAATTTGTCAACAAGCTTGAAACGCCTTTGTACAGTGTAGAGGGCTGATAAAGGCTTCGTCAGACCTTGCGGGGCGTTGTGTGATACGGTATTCATATATGTATATAAGTCTGTATGTACAGATATATATACACGCATTTGTATGTATGTGTGTATGTATGT